TGGATGTCATAAAAAGAGATTTGGAGAAGAAGTTTAATCAATGTACAGCAGCCATTTTTACTTAATGTAGGGATGCTAGCGCCAAGTCCAAGCATGAATGGATCAAAAAGTACAATATTGTCTCTATTAAACTTTAATTTCTCACCGTTGTGCTACTTCAGATGATGAATGAATGCTGGCAGTGGCTCCTGTCACAGTGATGCACAGTGTTGTCAGCTTTAATATCCATTCTCTTAAGTTATGATGACAGTGAATAGAGAGTCATCATGTGGAAAAAAGCTTCAAAGATGGTTGATGGTGAGGCAGCCACCTCAGTATTGTTGACCTGACACATCACTGCAGATGCTGCTGAAGCCTCGGCCGCTGCAGGTGATGGCGTCGGTAGCATTGTTAATGTTAGGAGTTATTTTTTGGGTTTTACTCATGGTTTATAAATAATGCACTACACTAAGACATGGATGTACCACATTTCATGGCAACCCATCTAATAGTTGCAGAGATATTTCAGTCTTGACCAAAGTGGTGGAGCCATCCATAGAGCCATGATGCCACTGGCCTGGCTAAAGACAGATTATTGTCTTGTCATATCAGCTATAACAGTCATGTTAAGATCTTTCAGACACCTAATACTTTCAGAAAAATATTCTGTACATTGGCACATTTTGAAAAACACCAAAACCGTTCTTGTAGAGTTTGTCTCCATTTGTAGACAGTAATGTAATCCCCTCTCTCACCTATCATGGGTGGTCATGACAAGGACTTATGCTGTTCATGAATAAAAACATCCTTTGCAGAACATTGGAATTCATTTTTTAGATGAAAGATATTAAATTCAACCAATTTGGATTAACTCTTTTGTATACTACTCCCTTATTATGCCCATGTAAACACCACCCTTTCCTGTGAGGTTTGCAGTATGGAGGCATACTACTCACTAAATCTTGCACTAAATGTGTCTTTTGGATCGCCAACAGCGCTCTTACAATGACAACATAGGCATGTATTAATATACCAAGAAGTAAAAAAAAAAATAAATAATTGATCCCAGCAATTTCCACACGCTGTTGTTACTGGTGAGATCTAAATTGTTCCTGTTTGATGAGTTTTCTCCATACACTTTTTACGGCTGTGGAGTTGGTGTATGGCGACAGTGGTGAGAATGGTCCAGGCATTCAAGTGGATAAAAGAACCGCAGGAAATAATGAAAGCTACCCAGTCTGAAAGAGAGGCTTTTGTCAGGGGAGCCAGTGTGCTGCAGGGCCTCTTGACAGTTAGATCTAAAAGCTTTCTCCACTACAAATCCTTTCTTTTAGTGAAATAAGGCACATCTACATACTCAAGAACTGTTGAATTAAATCACTCCCTCTTTTTCATTTCTTGCCTGTATTCAGGAAATTGCTCCTACGAACAAACTTGTGACCTGTAAAGGATTTGGACGAAATTGATTGGCCAGAGTGGGAGTAGAAGTGGGTCTGAGCTACATATCTTTTGGGAAGAAAAGTGGTTTTGCCGTCTGTTGTGCTGGAAGGCAATAAGTATTGATTAGAAAAATCCTCATTACACTCTCACTGGCTTTATAATTAATCCTACCCAGAGAGGAAGAGAATTATTATGTCTCCATTCACCACAAAAAACCTGTTGGAAACACCACGTCGTAGCTGCTGTCCTTTCCTCAAAGGCGGTTGTCAGAGGTGTAACACCTCACATCACCGAAATGTCATTTCTTACAGGATTTGAGAATAGTTGTCAGCTGGCTCATGTAAAAACATACAAGACTCTGTGAGCATTCATTGCTTTATATTCAATTGTCAGTTCCCAAAGTCCCTGTTCGAATCCAATAGCTCCTAATAGCAACGGCTTTTAACAGAACCGGACCACCCTGACCTCTGATGTTCTCAGTCTGCCTTATTGCCGTGCTTTACAGGAAGTCAGTAGCTTTACTAATGATTTGCTAAGATAAATACGCTTGATTAGCAGACTTATTAACAACTCACTACTGTTCAAATATAGAATAAATAATTCACGAACAGTAATAAAGTTACTATGAAGAGTTTCACCCATAGCTGGTAGGCATTTCAAGGGAGAAACGCTTCAGAGGAAGTGCTAATAGACTCGTAGTTTCAATGAGAATCGATTGCTGTTGACGAGCTTTGGCGGCTAAATGGACAAGGAAACTGGCACTCCATTCGAAAGCCCAAACTCCATCAATAGAAACAAGACAAAGGATTTTTATGAGCAGTGCTGCCGTGTGTTGGTGTGAATCGAGGCGACTCACACTACTATCAGCTTTTTACTGTAGGATGACGTGGAGGTAGTGAATCAGTGAGATTTATGACCTGTCTGGGCTGTGGTCGTTGGGCGCATACTGACCGATGGCTCCTAAGAGGAATCAGGGTAGAAGGGGTTGAGTTGTGGTGGGGTGATATGCCTGTGTGTGAGAGTTCTATTGATTTGCCATCATAAAAGTTCATATAAATGCCAACATGTTGGTAACCCTGATGCTTTATTGTTATAAGTACTGTGTATGTATACTGTAGCAGGGTTCGGCCACCTTTTTGATATGAAGTGCCATTTTTACATCTCAAAAATCAGTGGGCCATATCAACATTTCACATTGTGACACCACATCATAATTTAAATCTCTAATTTGACGAAATCCATGTATAGCAAAAACATCTTTCTCACATATTCAGGGAATTGTAATTATATATGAGAGCACTATACAAGAACGCTGCCATCATTATGAAAACATCCACATCACAAAATAAACTTAACAAATTCTGGAAAGACTGTTACTGGTATTTACCCAAGCCTGCCAGTGATACTGTTTAACATGGGTGTCTCATAACAAACAACCCTCTACTGAAACCTTCTGGAAGGTCCAATTACTCAAATCAGTTTCCTGTATTTTGATCATAAATGTACTGTAGAAAATGCATTACATTTTCATCTGTTTCTAGCAGAGCTCGACGATGCCAGTTCCCTGCTGAACACTAATATTTGTTATAGCTGTGGGTGAATAAATATTGATTCATTTGCAGAACGTATGCAGAATGCCAATTGCTCACGACATGTCTTTTTGTGTGGAAAGGTGGCTGCGAGCAAACAGGCAGAGCTGCTGTCATATTTGTGAGGAGCAGAAACAGTATAGCAACGAGCTACATGAATGAACATGAAGAGACAATATTTCCGTATAGTTTCAACCTGCCAATGGCTCAGTATATTATATAACATACAGTATAAAATATGCATGAACCTGTATGTGCAAACATCAGCAAAATTCAATTTATGTGGCTCAAACTCAACTACTCTTTGGTGAGAATGTGAATGTAAAAAAAGAAAGAAATGATTCCCTTTGTTCTGACCTTTACTGCTCAATAATGTGTCACATGAACACGACTTATGAGCCACATTTTGGTCGAATCTAATAAAGTTTTGAATGAAAATGTCTTCTCAGCGTTGTATAACACAAATGTGCAATGTTAATGGGGCGTTACATTCATAAATATCTGTCTTATTCATGATATTAGGGGACGGGGCAGATGGTGGATGGGTGTAGAGGGTCTGACTCACTCCAAAACAAACAGCGATCAGAAGTCAAAAATAATTACCACAATCTTTACAGCAGCACCGTCATTATTACTCAGTTTGTGTTTGCAAGTCTAAATAATGATTTATACTTCGAGACTGAATGAGGACACGTAAACGGTTATTTAACCGGTAGCAATACATAATGCAGGGGGAGGGGAGTGCATTTCTTCAACTTTGGCGCAAACGTCCACTTGGACTCGTGGATGAACTGATCAGATTTTAGCGGTCAAATGTTACTCATGTCACTCATCTATTTGTGTTCGGGTGGAGCTGTTTAAGAGCCCGATGCGGTGGAAAGACGAGAGGTGATCCGTAGGTGGATGCATGAACAGGAGTGACACATGCGCATCACTTTGCTCCGCTGCTGAAACAAGACGTGAAAGTGTGTCAAAGTGAAAAATCAAGCAAGGTCTCTGAAAATACACCACATCACTGACGCAACACAAAGCACTAATGGAGTGCTTTCATCTCATACCGCGAGCGTCGGCCTTGAAAACATTAAGTCCTGGGGAGAAAGGGAGGGGCGCTCTTGTCCATCAACAGGAAAGAGGAGCAGACGTATAACACTCCTGTAGACAAATCTTTGGTGAACAAATTGGATGGAAACGCAGGGATAAAGCAGTGATGTACAGTTTTTGTTTTGTATGCCGGCCAGCTTCCACAATTAGACCCCCCCCCCCCCCCCGCCGTGTCAGACGTTTTTTGAGATCCAGTAACAGGCGTCCTTCCCCTCTTTGAGTCTGCTGCTTGCTTGGCTGCAGACTAAAGTGCACCCAGTGACCCGGCATGATAATGACACATTGCTATGACACCGAGTAGGTGCAGATGTATTCAAGTGTGCAAGACTGGATGTGTTCTACGTGGATACATGTCCAGCAGTTGTCTCAGTTTGAGGATGCATTTGTGTCTGCGTTTGAATGTGCGTCTTGTGCATGGAAAAAAAAGTGTGTGTGTGTGTGTGTGTGTGTGTGTGTGTGTGTGTGTGTGTGTG